GTTTCTCGGCTGGCCTGGGAACGCCTCGGGATTCCCCCGGAAGAGCTGGCCCAAGTGGCTGGGGAGAGGGAAGTCTGGGCCTCCCTACTTAGGCTGCTACCACCGCGACCCGACCTCGGATAAGCGGAAGAAAATGGATGGATGGATGGATGGATGGATTGACAGCCAATGAAGGAATTTTAAAACAAATGTAATGTGATTAGCCCTGTGATGGACTCGCGACCTGTCCAGGGTGTACCCCACCCCTCGCACAGTGATTGCTGGACATGGGCACCGGCGACCCCCGTGACCCAAAATGGAAGAAGTGGCAGTTATTGACCGGTGCTCTTGCCGAGGTCGGACACTTTTCCCCTCCCCTCCCTCTCTGCTTTGATGCTCTGTCTGTCTGTGAAACTGCTTCTGAGCCTCTCTTGCATTTCTTCCGAATCATAATTATGGACTTGTTTTGATCAGTTGGTCCCTCAACACAATTGATAAAATTTCTTCGAAGAGAAGACAGGCTTTAGGTGAGCCAATTTGACCTATTGGCACGCACGCAACTGGATATCTCATCGATTTGGAAGACTTGATGATGTGTCTATCTCTGCTGCCATTTGTGGATTTTAAGGACGCATATTTAATTGGATTTACGATAACTGATACCTGCTTTTTGGATTCGGCTGGTTGTTGGTTTTAGCAACAATCAAGGAAGTCGTCTGCAGCAAATTTGGACCCGATCACGCTGCTTGCTTTTATTATGGCTTGGTTCGTGCCTCGAGTACCAAGACTCAAATGCTTTGGGCAGAATGGATCAGATCTCGGGGATTTTACTCAGTCACGTTCCATCGGTGTGACCATGTAATATGGACATTTCGGAACCGTTTGGACCAACACAGACTCAAGGTAGATGTCATTAAGTTCTGCCAAAACAACTGTGTGTTTATCTGTATTTGGTTTCCTTGGCTGGCCTTGAAGGCCACCTTATCTGAGTTCACCTGGAGAACATGTGATCTGACACTCACAACCCCCTCCCTGAGGAACTTCCAACTGATAACCAGATGAAACCAGCTGAATAAACATTGTGTCATCATTTCAGGATTCTTCTTCTCATAGACGTTATCCTTGGCCATGCCCCGACATCCCTCGAGAATGTTTACGGATCTCACCGGAGGACACTGGCTGATTCCTTATCAGAATTCTTACAGTGCCCTCGAGAGCATCGATGGACATTGCTTACTGCTCTTATCGTCTCGTCCCCCCCCCCCCCCCCCCACAGAATGTCTAGGTCACTATGTGCTTGTTTGTGCAAGGTGTTTTTTTAATATTAGTTTTTCTCTTCAGCCAAGAAGAAAAAGTCTGATAGGAATTTTTTTTTCACCTCCAATTCCTACATGTGTCCAATTTCATTACTTTTTTGTCTGTCTAAACAGATCTCACTTGTATTTGAGTCTTCTAGGCTCAATGTGACTTATTTGTCTGAATAAAGGTTGAATGAGTGAAAAAAGACCTGGTCCTAAAAGCCACCCACTGTTCTAAACGAGCAATTAAAATTTTGTGATCGACTGTATCAAATGCTTCATCAGGTTTAAAAGCACAAGAACCACACAATCACCAGAATCAGTAACTAAAAATATGTAGCTACATTCTTAAAAGGGCAGACTGAATTCTTTTATGTGCATAATTTAAAAACAATGCTGAAAATGAGATCTCTTACTGTCTAATTTCTCATCTTTTTCAATTTTTTTCATTTTTTTGCTACTTACCTCAGTCCAGTGAGGAGGACCAGAGGTGTTCATCCAAAGAACACACAGAGGGTCAGACTTCGAGAACATGTCCATGTCCATCAGATTGTCACATGAGATGCTCAATGCAACCTTGGTCACACAGTCTGTGACTCTGGGTGGTGGGGCTCCCACTGCCGCCATCGCTGACCAAAGGACGGGAGGCAAACACTAAAACACACAAGAAATGGCAAATGAGAAAAATTAAATAAAAAAAAAACTTAACCAGAAAGCACACACGCATGAGTTTGTCTGCAGGTCATTTGTATTATTCACATAAAAATGACAGTGTCTGATGCTGCAGCCTGCATGCATGTGGAACAGCATTTTAGTTCTAAATGTTCACCTGTGCATGTTACGAACGAGTTGTTGCTTTTACTGTACATCCAAACTAAAACAAGTGTGGTGGATGAAATGAGAGGTGAGACTCTGCTGCAATTCTGTCCGAAAAGACGTCCCATTTCCCGTGAGAGTTTAAACGCAAATAAATGGGTTTTTTCAAATGCTCTACTTTAGTACCAAAGATTAAAAAAAAAAAACTAAAGATTGCATTATTACTATTTTTATGATATAAATATTCTAATAAAAGTTGTCTTTACTGTGTATTTTAATGTGGACAAGTTTTCCTGTCGAGAGTGTAGTAAAGTTACTGTGAGGTTAGGACAGCATTTGAAAATTCAAGGAAAAAAATAAAAATAAAAAGTAGGATTTTTAGGCTTTGTTAGATTAAAAAAAAAAAAAACATGTTTATTGACTGCACAAAACAATTAATGAATAAAAGCACAGACAAAATTAAATGTGTGGTTGATTTTCCACCAAAAGACGATATGAGGGATAATAAAGATGAAGTCTGCAGTTTTATTTAGAAATGTTGCATGAAGGTAAGAATAGCTTCATTCATGTGAGTACATTTTTGAAATGAAGACGGGCAGATTTGGACCAATTTTTCAATAATTATTTCTCATTATCAATGAGGAGTTTAGACTAACATGTTTTTGTCACCCATTGCGAAGCAAAGAAAGGGAAGTGAAAACACTCTCAATCCGTGCATGATGCAAAATGAATAACTTGAAAAACTGGGCAGATACCAACGTTTGGTTTGTGGCTTCATCTAATCAGAGGTGTCAAACTCACTTACAAAAGGGGTCAAAATAAAAACAAACTTTTTCAAACTAAGGGCCAGTTTCAGAATCTACATTAACTCAAGTTAGATACCCAACATCTTGTCTTGGCTGCAATTTTTCATAGAAAATCAATAATCAAAAATGAAAAATTTCTTGTCATTTCATTATTCTTTTTAATCAGAATCAGAATAAATTTATTGGCATTGCACCGAGATACGGGCAGCACGGTGGCGCAACTGGTAGAGCTGCTGCCTCTCAGCAAGCAGGTCCTTGGTTCAAACCCCGGTCCAGGGGCCTTTCTGGGTGGAGTTTGCATGTTCTCTCCGTGCATGCGTGGGTTTTCTCCGGGTACTCCGGTTTCCTCCCACAGACCAAAAACATGCATGTTAGGCTGATTGGTAACTCTAAATTGTCCTTAGGTGTGAGTGAGAGAGTGAATGGTTGTTTGTCTCGTTTGTCTCTATGTGGCCCTGTGATGGACTTGTGACCCATCCAGGGTGTACCCCGCCCCTCGCACAGTGATTGCTGGACATGGGCACCGGCGACCCCTGTGACCCAAAATGGAATAAGCGGGTAAAGAAAATGGATGGATGGATGGATGCACCGAGATACAACGCGAATATGTACGTACAGTCGTCCGAAGATGGGCGGAGTGCACGAAGATGGGCGGAGTGCACGAAGCTGCGCTAAAAATATTTAGCGCAGCCTTCTTATTCTTATTCAGAATAATATTTTGCTTAGATAAGAAAAGGAAAGAAAACATGAGGAGAGACGGTATAAAAAATAGATCTCTCACACCGTGTCCTAGACGGGGCACAATTTGAGGCATCAAAAAAACCTACCACAGCAAGGCAACATGTGGGATTCAAAAAATACAATATATCAACTTTGGAAAACTGTCCTGCACACTTATTTGATTTTGATATTTGTTATCTATTAAATGTGTGACCTGAAAGGTGTGAGTGCGTGCGTGCGTGCGTGCGTGCGTGCGTGCGTGCGTGCGTGCGTGCGTGCGTGCTTGGTGCATATCGATGCCATGGTCTAGCTGGAAACACACTTGGCATTAATCAAAACGTTGTTTAAGACAGGCAAGACACACGCAGAGATTTCCTTTACACTGCAGCAGATATGGATCCAACAGAGCTTGGAAAAGAGCGTCAGTAGAGTGTGTGCGCGCAAATTACAACCTGAAACTCAAAAGGAACGTTTTGGATGCAGAGTTGGAGATGGCTGTGATTGGCTCAATATATGAGGTTACATGGATTTTATTATATACATGTATATTATTATATGCATATATATATATATACATATATACATACATATATATATATATATATA